TTGCAATATGGGGTGACTCATAAAGTTTTTGCGAAATTGCATAATCAGTATGTTGTCCTCTGTAAGCTTTGTAATTGTACAGAAGGATAAAACGATTGGTACTTAATATCTTCCCATAGTATTGACGTGTGCATGTATGAAGAAAAGATTGAACAACATTCCGCACGGTATATTTCAATGGAAGCGACTTGATATTGTGATAATTACGAATCAAATGATATTGACATCTCCACATTCCAGAGCGTTATTTGTTTTTCTTTTTTAATTTGCACTATAAAATAAAATTGAATTTACAACTTAAAATTCATTGGCTATTATTATCCAAAGAAAATCGACAAGTCAATAGATTCTAAAAACAGATAGCTCAACGTACATATATTCATGTCGGTGTATGCAATATGATAATAACATAACATTCGTATCTACAGCAGATTTATAGCATTTGCGTTTTACTCTAGTAATTCATTTAAGACGATTATTGGGAGACCTCACATTCAGTTTTGAGAAGAGAATGATTATACGTCAAACGACTAATAGTAAAGGTTTAACGTTGAAAGACAATAAAACAAATTAATTTAAGACAGGCGTGAGCATAAGGCATCATAAACAAATGATGGTGAACACTGACTATGGGGTCCAAACCGGCCATAATTGCAACCTTGTGCTTCTTCTCTTCCTTTAGAGTCTTTATAATTTCCTTTTTTCACTTCTTTACCACTTTTTTAATAAGTAGACTAAAGTTTTTTGCGTTCACAATTTTTGTTTCCCATGGTAATTTTCTTTGTGCAATTAGAGGAGATGTGGAAAACTTATTTGAATTATATTGGAATGTACAAATAGTTTTCAATGGAATAACTTTGATCGTTTTTCATGCCTATCTCTATCTTTTTGTTTTCTTTTGAATATGGTGAAATAAAAGGATAGAAGACTCCAAGAAAATGGACTATACGAATTTGGATGTTTGTAATAGTGGTGTGAGTTTGGTAATAGTAGTAAGCTATACTATGTGCCAAATGAGAATTGTGAACTTTTAAGGGTTTGAAGATTAAGACGTCGGTCCATAAAACTCCATTATCCAAATAAAAATAATATATCTACGTAAACGTAATGTTATAAATTCGCAGCTCTAGAGTGAGAGTCTCAATTATCATTGAATTTCCATCTTTATTGTAATAGAAAAGTGGATACTGAAATTAGATTATATAGCTTCAATAAACAAAATATTTAGCCATGAGTTATGGTTAAGAATCTTTTAGCAAAAAAATAAAAATAAAGTTATGGTCAAGAATAGCATGCATGATATTTTGCGGTATATTTTTCTTTCCATTGAAAACGTGAATCCAGAATCTCTAACAGAGAAGTAGAGTGACTTAATTTCGCTGCAAAGTTAAAAGTCCATGTTCTAAAAAAGCTGATATTTGAACCGAAAGGTATTCATTTGCTAAATTTTGAATGTTTAATCGGTTCGGATTACAACTGATGATCAACTTAATTTAAAGACGAAAATGTTGATTAGTAATTAAAATTTGCGAAGTTGGTGAGGAGAAAAAAAGATATTGTCGTCCAGGTTTTATGCTCATAAAGCAACACATGAGTGTTTCTACCTAACAGCCTATTTCTATAAATTTAATTTCTTGGGTCATTAAGTGGACTCACCTAATTTGTTTGTTAGTCTAACGTTACGATTTTACTTTATGCTAATCCCCGTTTTTTAACAAACATGCGAATCACCTTGCCATAATTTTGTAGTTGACTAATCAAATCACTATACATGTGTTTTCTCGTAAATATTATTTGGAACTTGTGTATCGCGAACAACATATACTTACTAGGTGAATAGTTTTATCTTATTAATTTTAAAAATTTCTGGGTTTTTTCCAATATTTATGTGGGT